ACGTTCAGGGGATGTTTCAGAGACGGCTCTATGTCTGGGAATAGATCTTCTCAAATCCCTTACTCATAGATTTAAAAAAGGGAGGGAGGGCAGAATAGAAGCATTCAATTAAGTCTCCGTCTTTCTAGAAAGACACTGGAACATAAACTCTTTGGAAAAGGAGTTTTATATGGTTTGTTCATTAACATATCCACGGGGCTTGCAATAGTGTCCAATACATAGTAGATACTCAAAATATTTGTTGAATGAAAGGAATGAATGAATGGGCAGGCAAGGCAATGGGCAGGGAAGGTGGAAGAAACAGTGAAGAGACAGACTGAGGAAGGCATGGATTTAATGAATGGCTTCCTTCCAATCAGAATCTTGAATTAAAAATTCGCAATAACCTTCAAACATCTTCACATACATCTCCCAAACCCTACCTAGAAACTTACTTTGTTGAGGGCCCCGGCTCCAGTCAGAATTATGTGAGAATTTTCAACCTGGATGGTTCTCTGTCCCAGCCGGACAAGGTAAGCTCCGATTCCAATGGCCCGACATGTAACCTTAAAAAAAATAAATCCTACACGTCACATATTTATGTCCCCTCCCAAGCAGTAAGAACTTAGGCAGAGATATGTAAAACACACATGAGCAGAAAAAAATATACTGCTTTATGAAGTCTGTTTGATCAATAACAATATGCAAAAAAAATAAAACAAACCTACAACAATTTCCTGGTCAAAGAAAAGAAGTACAAAATTAATTCAATGACTCAAGTATTGGACACTTAAAGGTTCAGAGACCCTTTACTTCTCTTATACGTTTGTCCATTTCACAGATGCTTGGCATCTATACTAGAGGTATGAACAAGGAAAGTAGTAAGAGGAGAAGAAATTCAAGCTGTTAAAACTCTGGTAGGATACTAAGAGAAATAAGAAGTTAAATTGAAGGCTAAAAGGAGGTGCTAGGTTTATCTGGGAAATTCAATTATTTACACCATCCTATCTTTCCATGATCATGCACAATTAAAATCAAATTGTAGATATGCAATTTTTAAGAAACACTCTCATTTGGGACTGAATAGTAGGAATGGGGGCAAAAAGAAATCCTAGCTACACAGTCAGCTCTTTATAAAAATTTCATGTTCAGGCAAGATTTACCAGGCTAATGGTGATGATTTCATCATAGGCCAATGAGGATTCTCCAGCAATCATTCCAGAACCTCGAAGGTTCTCTGCTCCAAGTCCCTCTTCCTTCCCAATAATATCAGTTATCTTGTACCTATTGGATACAATCATGTCAAATTATAAAGGTTAAACACAGTAAGAACAATCCCTTAAAAGAATAATCACATTAAAAGGCTGCTGAAAGCACACTGGAAGCTTATATATGGCTCTATACTCTTCTTAGACTTGTCATTCATATAGCTTTCCTTCTCAGCTTGGGGCCTATTGTGTCTGGATGCAAGATGGTACAACAGAAAGGGCAAAACCTGGAATTAAGTAGATAGGCTTAAATCCCAGCTCTGACACCTACAGCAGTGTGATTCTGGGGATAACAGTAGCTTCTGTAAAATGGGGATAATAGTAGCTGCTACCTCTCCAGGTTGACATGACAGTTAACTGGAAGCAACAAGGAGAGGACTTGACACATAGATGGAGCCCGGATTTTAGGTGTCCTCGCTTACTTTCTAGAACAAGTGTCTTAAAGACAGGGTCAAAGTATATCTCTCTATAATAAGCAATATCCATTCAATCGGTAATTTTAAATAAATGTTACATAGGAATAAAAAAACCAGAGGTGTAGTGAGAAGGCTTAGACCAATTTCCAAAGTCACGAATCCTCTCTCTTTCTAAGCTAAGGATGAAAGGGAAGGTCAAAACAGTGCACTCCCATCCCTGCTCCTTCGTACATATCAGGCGTATACACAAGGGCTCCTGGCTTTAGGCCTCTGGAGGGGCAGGTGGAATGTGTGTAGAAGTGAAATGCTGGCCAAGTTGTCCAGAAAGCATCCTGTGGATCCAGTGGGAGCCACTCATCTGTCTTCTAGGCAGGGGATCAGGAGTGATAGCTGATAATGGGAAATGGGAGATGGGGAATGCAACTAATAAAAGAAAGGAAAAATACAAAGTTGGAAGTAGAGATGGGCATATATTAGTTATTGCTCCATGTGTACCCAGAAGGCTTGGCACTGGGCACAGTTTTATAAATTGAAATAATAAATAAGTATCCTATCGTGGCTCTTAAACTATTTTTTGTGCCCCCATATTTCTCTGCTCCCTTCTTTACTTCAAGCACTCCATCAATTCCTTTTCTTTGCCCTCACTGTTGGTCTGTGGCTTTGCATTTCTGCTTCCCAGTTTCCTTTGCTTTTCTGTTTTCAGCCTCTCCCAATAATTTCCTAATTCTTTCTTTTGCTCTGTATCTAGACTCTGGATTCTAGAATTATGTTACGGGTAAAGCTAATCTCTCTTAAGGGGTTAATGAGCCACATTAATTTGGTGGGGGTTGGGGGAAGAGGGGGGAAGTTAATGGGGTTTTTTTTGTTGTTCTTTTTTTATAAATAAGGCTCACATCCCGTATAGTCACAAATACTCATGGGCCCAGTCAGCCTTCCCTGCAAAACACATCTTTTCTCTCCTAAGGACTAAATATTGTTTCAAAGGTGTTCTTGATCTGTTAAGTGGCATCTTCTCCCATTGTATTACATGAAATAGAGTAAAAATTTCCCATTTTCTACTCAATGATCTGAGTCTTCTATCAATAAAGCTATCACTCTTTATAGTACCAAATTTTAACGTTATTTATAATGAAAACCTTTGTACAGTGTGATAAAATTAACAAAACACATTCATATATCATTTTTGATCCTCATAACAATCCAGTGTGATAGGCCATATCATCTCCATTATTACAGATAGCAGTAATAGTCAGGATTTTTGACTGCTTACTGTGTGCCTTGTGCTGTGCTAACAGCTTTACATATATTAGTTTACTTGATCTTTACCCTACAGATGAGGAAACTAAAGCTCGGAAAAGAAAAACGATTTGCTTTAACAAAAGCAATATACAAAAATCAACAGTTTTCTGAGATGCCAGTAATAAAGAGTTAAAAAAATATAATGGGGGCTGGAATCCCATTCAGAGTAGCAAGAAAAAAAGGCAAAATATTTAGGATTAAACACTTAAAAATCCCACCTTACCCACACTATGTACTAAGGCATCCTGGTGTCGCAGTGAACTGCCAGGGGCACTGAAGGGTAGTTTAAATTTCTGAAAGAAACACTATGATATGTGATACCAGTGGGATCCCATGTGGACTACTTGCTTTAGGTAGTTCACGGCTTAACATTAGATAGTGCTACATTCCTTTTGACAACGTCCTGTCTTTGTAAAGCTGAGTTTTCACAGTTTCTGTGAACAAAACAAAACAAAACAAAACAAAACAAAACAAGTTCTGCACAAAAATCAATGCAGAACAAGAAATGAGGGTGGCTATGTACAAGTGGATTGCAAGGTTTGAGATATCTTGCAGATGAAAATATTCCATTAGTAAGTAACTAATTATTTAAGAATGAAATAAGAAAAAGTTTCAATTATGTGTATTATATTTTCAAATAATTACTAAGTTGTTAGGGCATAAATATAATACTTATGAAGTTGTCTGGATTTGACTATTTAATAAACAGAAATATGAGGTATATCTTTTTGCCTAAAGGTGCTAGGAAAAAATTACTGAGACAGTATGGGTGCAGTGAACCAAAAAAGAATGGTAACTTCTGGCATAACCTATAATAGAAAACTACAAAACTTAAAAAAATATATATTTTTTCTCAAATAAATGGAAAATCATACCATGTTTCTTGCTGGGAAGAGTTAATATTATGAAGATGTCAGAGCTTCCTAAATTAATTTATAAACCTAATTCAATTTGAATCAAAATCATTATGGAAAGTTTTTGGGAATTAAAAAAATGAGACTATATATAAAAAGACAAAAATAGCTAATAAAACTTGGGGGAAAATTAGGAATATGATGAAATCGGTCCCACAAGAATAGTTAAGATAGTGTGGCAATAGCCTAAGAACAGACAGAGCAAAAAAACAGAATACAAAGCCTAGTAATTGAGCTAAGATGATTATAGAAGTGAGGAGAGTATGAATTATTCAATAAATGGTATTGGAGCAACTGATTAACATTCTGGAAAATATACACAGATTATAAAAATGTTCAGCTTCACTGGTAATCAAAAATACCAGTTAAAATAACAATTGTTGTTTTTATCCTATTTTATTAATTGACAATAATCGATGTTGGCAAGGGTGAAGAAAAAGTAAAGAGGGGAAACAAGTAGCGTAATAAACTGCTGGTGGCAGTACAGATTTTGGAAGGGCAATTTGAAATTAACAAAAAAAATCTTAAAAGTGGACATATATTTTCACTAGCAATTTCACTTTTAGAAATTAACCCAAAGGGAGTTTATTAGAGATATTCCTAAAAGTTTATAATAAAAGAATGTTTAGCCCAGGGATGTAACAGTAAAATTTTGAAATAGTGAAAGCTCAAATATGATATATTCATTATGAAATTATTTATGAAGTCATAAAACATCATATTCTCAAATAATATTTTAAGAATATGCAAAATTTTCCCCAAAATAGTTTTGAGTGAAAAGAACAAATTACAAAAGTTTTTCTGTTACAATTCAATTATTAGAGGAAAAGGTGTATGTATAGAAAAGGCATTAAGAATATACATTAATATTTATGTCCCTTGATAGGCTTATAGCTGATTTTTGTTTTTTTTTTGTTAATTGTTTACATGTTCCAACTTTTCTAAAATGAATAAATATTATAAATATAAGTCAGGTCTTTCAGCTAATAAGTGGCAGAGCTACGATATAAACGTAAGACCTCCCAATTCTATAACAAACTGTCTTCGTTGCTCTTTAAGGTCATGATCGGCAGGACATTGAGGGAGAAAATAATCATATTCTCCTTCCTTTAATCTATGGCCAAATTATTCTGATACATATATACCTACCTGGATTCTCCTTCATCCTCCACATGTTCACAATGAACAGAGTTGAGAGCACTGACTCTCTTATAATCTTGAGGGGTCAGATATAAGTATTTGTATCCCTGTGAAACACAAATAGTTGTTAACTCATTATTTGCCATCATCACATAACCAGCAGACACAGCAAAGCATGCATAATGTAGTTTGTTCCAAAGCTAGCTTTAAATTGCCACATCACTTCTTAGAGTTACTGTCTAATAGAATACTAGCACAGACAGTTAGACAGCTCTCCTTTGAAAGATGGAAGTGCCTATTTCTCCAGTCACTGACTGTCCTGGAAACAAGATGTTTTGTAGCTGCAGCGCCAAGTATATCACATTCATCTCATTTTCATCAAGGTTAAAGGGTCATTTTCTGATCTTTATTGACATCTCTATTAAAGGTATCAACACAAAATTAAAGAATTGCTTGAATTACTATTTTTCACTTCTTGAAATCTATAGTATCACCAAAATATAAATGGTTAAGGGATAATTGAGAGGATCACAAAACTAGGATAGTCTAATAAAATCGGAAGTCTATGCAGTGCTAATAATCACTGAACACTAAACTCATGCCTTTTAATTTTTTTAAATAAACAAGTCCTAATTCCTATTTACATTTAAAAAATTATACTAGCATTTCATAATTGATTTATTTGTATGCATGCAAATACACACTCACATATAGTTAAATAAGTGTGCTTAACTTAAGTGAATTAGTCACTCAGCCAAAAAAAAAAAAAAAGCAGAGGAAAACATTTTAAATACTATGAGAAATTATCCCCACCATTTAACTCAATGAATTAGAAGCTACATTTAGGCAGACACAGTGAGCACAACAGGGAAACAGGGAAGAGACGTGAATTTGCCATAGATTCTGTGTGACTTGTGACAAGAACACCTTTTAGCATTGAGTGTTATTAGCACGTCAGTCAGCACATATTTATTGAGCGCCTATTATGTGCTAGGTACTGTTCTAGGCACTGGAAAAACAGGAATGAGCAAAACAGACAAAAATTCTTGGCTTTAAGGAACTTATCTTCTAGTGAGGGAGAACATATACAAAATAAACAAATAAAACGTAGAATGTTAACAGGAATGATGTTTAAGAAAAACAATAAAATACAGAAGGCAGACAGGAGAATAGCCAGGGGAGGCTTCATTGAAAGTGTCATAGGAGCAAAGACCTGAAGACCTGAGGAAGTGAGACATGCGGATATCTGGAAGGAAAGCATTCTAGGTCAAAGGAACAAATGCAAAAGAGCTAAGGCATGAGTGTACCTAGCAGGTTCAAGGTAGAGCCAGAGAAGGGAATGAGGTGAGCTGTAGCAAAGAATGAGGGCAGAGTGGTATTGGAAGGCCAGTCTGTGTAGGGCCTTGTAGGTAAAAATATAGCTTCCAGCTTTTACTTGAGTGACTTGGGAAACCACTAAAGGGTTTAATCAGAGGATGGTTTTGAGCCGTGATCTGATTTATATTTTAACTGGATCACTCACTTTCTGTTGAGAGTAGACTTTGTGTAGAGGTAGGGGCACGGCCAGAAGCAGGAAGGTCAATTAGGAAACTATTGCAATGATGCAGATGAGAGATGACAGTCACCTGGGCTACCGTGTACCAGTGAAAGTGGCTGGATTCTGGATATATTTTACAGGTCAGGATGTAAACATGATTTACTGACAAAGTGGATGTGGGATGTGAGAGAACAAGAGAAGTCAAGGGTAGCGCCAAGGTCTTTTACTTAAATAGAAGAATGGAGATACCATTTATTGAGACAGAGATGACTGTGGGAAAAACACATTTTTGGAAGAAGAGTAGAAGCTACATTTAGGGAGATGCGTAGGTAGAGATGTTAAATCTGGGTATATAAATCTGAAGTTCAGGGGTAAGCCATAAATTTGGAAGTTTATTAGTTTATAGATGGAATTTAAAGCTTTAAGGCTGAATGAGATCATCAAGAGAAGGTGAATATAGAAAAGAGGAGAGCTCTAGGGACCAAGCCCTGAAACACATTTTTTCCTTCTACCCCACCTTCTGTACAGGCTGCCTTGCCAAAGCACCAGGTGACAGGGCACTGCGCCCTGGTGGAGTTGAGACTGGAGAATCTAGGACTTCTTGGTCCTGCCACAGCCTCTATGACCTTGACATCTGTCTCCATTCACATTATTTTTTGTAATTTAAAAAATTGAGATAAAATTCACATATCATAAAACTGGCCACTTTAAAGTGTACATTTCATGGAGTATTACTGAAATCGTACCATTTGGGATGATATGGATGGACTTACAGACTATTATGTTAAGTGAAATAAGTCAGTTGGAGAAAGACAAATACCATATGATTTCACTTATATGTGGAATCTAAAAAACTGAATGAATGAGCAAAGTAAACAGAAGTGGTCTCAGAGATATAGAGGAAAAACTGATGGCTGTTAGTTGGGAGGGGGTGGGGATGAGGGAGA